CCAGAGATGTCCAAAAAGTGGGGGGGGGATGGGGAGCGAAAGTTGGGCCGATCGAGACAACATTGCCCTTGGGGGAAATTTTTGTGTTCTAGACGTCCGAAAATAATATTTGAGACGTTCTAGACTCATTTTTTTCTTTTTCATTCCTTTTTTTCTTTTTTTTCCTCCCAAAAAAAAGGGGGGTGGGGGGGGGGCGCCCCTGATCTGTACTACACAGTTGAAATGGAATCGTCGAGGTTGTGTGATGTAGGGCGCGATCTACACTCTATTCGTCATAAAATCCATTAGATTTTTTTTTATTCAAGGCTTAAAATAGCAAATTACGATCGGCTTATAAGCGAGTATAATAGGCCTACAGTATGTACGAATACACTGTAATATCGAAATGCTATAAAAACAATTTATGGTTAACGGTATTAACTATCAACACTGAAATTACAAAACTGTATCAGAATAACTCAAAACATGAAGGCAGTTGTCGTAGGTCTACTATCGACTGTAGGACACTCTATAGGTTGTCCTATTATTATTACATGGAATAAAATTTGTTTAAAGGAGCTCAAAACGCGACAAATACAATATATTTTAGACTGTTTGTTTAAAAAAAAGTAAACGTACATTTATTTGAACACTCGAGACTAAGGCCAGGATCTATATCATCTTTTTTAAACTTCTATTTTGTATTTTTAACTTCATGTAACCATTTGAACAACTTCCGGATAGCATGGACATAATATATTCGTAGATATCAGAGTGGGGGAGGGGGGTCTAGGAATTCGATTAGAAGTTGCCAAGGAGGGGCGTCTACGGAGGAGTGTCCAGACCAACTCAGTTGTACCATTGGTCACATGTTCGATTGGCTATGGCCGGAAACGGCATTCTCAGTAGAAATTAAGGTAATTATCTTTTTCAATAGACTACGAGATTAACAAATTGGCAACCAAAAACCAGGAAAAAGAAGAGGAAGGAAGGCAAAAGAAAGGTGGGGGGATGACATCACCACATACAGGGAACAACAAACTAATGATTGATGGATTTTTTTTCACCATTTTTTCTATTTATTTTCTATAATTGTTCCCCACCCCTGAAACCATCTTGGATATTTTCCCAAAACCATGTCAAAGCACCATGGTGGCCTCCAGAGGCCACTTTGTCTGCTGGAATTGTTGTAGTTGATGTATGGGCTTGCAATTAGTTTTATAACTTCCTTATGTTATGAATGTATAATTATTGACTTCTATCGATTTGGAAATATCCAACTTGTCACGCACAAAATGCTACATTTCGAAACAGCAATAATTCGAAGCAAGGAACAGGAAAACTTCCGCGAGTACCGGATTGTATTGCTTTATATTATGTCATTGAGCTTAACCTGAATGACGACAATCGACGTTTAACCAGAATGATCGCAGTCAGCTAATGTTGAAATCAATGATAAAGGTCAACGAACTATAGGCCTACCATATGTAATTAGTAGATATTTAGCGCGATTTTTTTTATTTTTTTAAATTTTTTTTGTGGTAATATCTAAAAAACAGTCAGGGCTAACCATTAACTGTAAAATCGCTATTATTGTATAGTCATAGCCTCCGGGAGTTCTCCTCCTGAACCCCCTTCGTGGAAACTGCGGTGGTGGACCTCCAAGGCATTCGACTCTATTTTTACACTTCATGTTATACTCATACACTTCTGGAGTCCTTAGGTGGTAGGCTTTACCCACCAGAACCCCTAACCACGCCAACTTACTATAAGTTCTCGCCGGCGGCATTGGGTCTCTCGTCGGAGACATTGTGTCGCCCCTCTCCCTTCTCCGCCCCCAACCCTTCGTGGAAATCCTGATGCCCCCACTGTTCTGTGTAGAGATAGACCTATCTTTTTGTAAGAAAAATAATAGTCATTTATTAATCTTTAAAAAATCCATGGTTATCAAGTTTAATAAATAAAAAAATCCATGTTATAATTTAAAAAGTCGTTATTTAGGTTCCTCACTGGTAAAAATACTTTTTATTTGAGAAAAGTCGCAGCTTTAGACGTTCAGGATTTTGGGTCGGGCTTTGACTCAAATGTTATAAACCATTATTGGGATAAGACACTCTATTTCAATAGTACCTCGTCCTTTGGATGGGACATTAAGCCTAAGAGTGCTGCTCCTCTGTTGGTCTATTATTAGAAACATTCTAAAACGTATCGTTATTGTAAAGATAGCCTGCATCATTATCAAAAATGTCAATCAGTAATTTTCGTGATAAAATATGTATCGTTTGTGTAGGACCATAAAGTAGCAATATTGTCTCAACAGTTCGTCATGGAGATATGACCAACGACAAAACAAAAACATAGAATATAGAACATGAACATATATTATTTTATTAAATATACTATTTTAACTACGTGGTCACCGACGTCAAATAAACATGAATATACAACAGTCTTATATTATATAACACGGAGGACAAACATTGCGGACAAAAGCCGTTATGAACACAATATTCAGGGTAGGACAAAAGAACAATGATATACATTAATAATAACGATCATAATAATTGGCCTGATATAATAATATTAAAAACAAAAACAATCCTGATATAGATTAGTCGTACGGAGATCCAAGAAGAAACAGATATTTCAAGGAAACGTGGAAACAGTGTTTCATCGAATACGGACGGGCGGACGGATGAATGGTTGGTTGGATAGATAGATGGATGGATGGGTGGATGAACTGAAATAGAATTAATTAATTAATTACTGAAAGAATAACATTTGAAGGAAATAATTATCTGTTTTATTTACCATTTACAGTGAAATTAAGGGTTCATATTAGTATAAGTATCCTTTTTACACGCCACCCTCCAATAAACGTCCCCTTAAAGTCAGACTCCGGAGGAAAAAAAAAAAAAAAATTTCCTCCGGAGCCTGACTTTAAAACCCTTTATCAATAATAAACGCCTCAGTGCGTTTATTCGAATAAGAACGGTATTACTATATCCGAATTTAAAATGAGAAACGTTCAATAATCAGCTTTTCACTCAATTTTCTAATTTCTTAAAATAAATATACCCGAGGCTTGGATGAAAAACATTTGCAAAATACTAAGGACATTTTTAAGAGCGCATATGATGTCATCTGTGTAAACATTATCGAAACTCTTTCGAAAGGCCAGGAAATATATGTGTCGTTTTACTTTCATTAAAATAACATGCTGCAATAATCTTGAAATAAGGAAGCGGACTATTCTAATAATTAATATATATATAGAAAACAATACGACGTAGGGCTTATCTTATTTATAATATAAGCCCCTAAAATGTGCAATTTTTAGAGGAAATTGGCCTACTTCAACAAGAAATGCGCTTATGTTATATATGGCCACACTCGTTTTTTTGAAACTGACTATAAGCATTTTCATTATGGCTTTATTTATTACAAACATATTCTTTCATCATCATTACACAATGAGGCCCTTCTTTTAGGTAAAACGATTTATCTTAAATGTTCTTTCTTGATTTTGGGACTATTACCGGTATGTGTTTAAATATCTTAGAAGGCAAAGGAGGGCAAGCACAAGCTTTAACCTTAAAA